CTCTGTAATGCAATATCAAAATATTTGGCTAAAAGAAAAGGAAACAATTTCATTGTGCTGTGACCACCGATCAATACCCAAAGCAATTGTTCATCGAGTCAAAGAAAGTTACCTTGCACAAAAAAAAAAAAAAAAAATTATTGAACAGTACATTCAAATTATTATTAGAAGAGTAAATATATGTAAATATAATCATAGAACTTGATAATTTTAGTTTTTCTTACTATTTGCTTCATTTATTTTTAATAAATCATCTGTTTTGTTCTAATGTTATATTAGAAAAAAAAATTTTGTTGAGGTTACGTATTGGTGTAGGGTGTTGGTGGGCTATACGACTTATTTAGGCATGCTATATTACTTATTATATTTTTATAGAATTTTGGAAAAAATTTCATCATTTTATCTCCACTAGAAGTACTTTTGGCCGCTCTCCCCATACAAGCGCAACCACTGTGGAGCTGGGACTGGGTCTGGGTGCTCCCCCGATGACATTGAAATTGGGCCTGCCTAATTCAGCATGGAACATACGTAATTTATGTATGGCGGAATCCTGTGCTCTTTTCAAAAATTTGCTTGTCAGTGTGTCAGGCTTTTCTTTCTGTCTGACAAGCAGCGAGACATACGCATCTCTGGCTTGATTTCGTTCATTTATGTGTGGGCACGGGGGGAAGAGCATCCAAAATAAACATGTTTCCGTTTTAGCAATGGATTTTTGTTCTATGCAAATGCCAGGATACGGATCGTTGCGCACAACTTCCGTGCCCCATTTATCCGGCAGCCAACTAAAACGGAAGGCCGCAGCGAATGCCAATGGTAAAGCAAGGCGAATAAAATGGCCCAATACGTTGCTTGTGGATCTCTGTGCGTGTTCCCTCTTTCTATATGTATGTGTGTGTGAGTGGTCAAACACTGCAGGCGCTGATTGCTCAACTCGAAAATGGTCAAGGTCCGTTTTTTGTGGGAGGGGCGTGAGGATTTTGATTGATCCCTTGGCGAGGCGATTAAACTCCGAGCTAGCTTGGCCTAAGGTAAGCAACACAAGTGGACACCATATGTCAATTGAGTCCCTGCCTGTATCTGTGTGCGTGGGTGTCTGTAGTTAAGTGTGATGCCGTCAACATGTGAACTTGAGTCTGGACCAGCTCAGACTGCATATTTTAGCTAGTAATTCTATTCCCAAGTATTGAGCTTGCTTTTTGGCAACGCTTCAATAAGCTTATTGACTTTCAGTTTATGTTTGTCTGCTCGAAGGAACGTCAAATACTGTTTGGACAGAGCATATACTAAATTAAATAACAAGCAAAATATTGATTTTGGAAATTTTTCCAAGACTAACTTTAAGAACATTTCAAAGAGATTCACATATCATCAATATTAAATATTGTTTGCCACTGTCTTTTCTTATTGGAAATCGGAAAAAAAAACCCCTGGTCCCATTTTGATTGCTTACCTTTCGTCGGTAATCTTTTCTTGAATTCCTTTTGTGACTTTAAGAATATTGCTTTCCTTTCTGTGGGGCTTCAGGTACTTAAGTCCAGACAAGATGTAGTCGTCGGCCTTGCCTGTTGGCTTAAATTTCCGTCAAAACTGGTTGCTAATTTATGAGCACTTTTGTGGGGTTGTTAGCTACAGGCCGTAAGATGAGCACGCAGTGTATATCGCGCGCTTCCGCTTCCCGTTCCTGTTTCCCATTTCCGGCAATATTTTTCGAGCTGCTGTCAGTGGGCGATATTGTGCTTTTGTATGCGTCTCAAAGGATTTGGCAACTACAAGGTGGTAAGCCGTTTCTGAGAAGCCCGCAAAGGTCAAGCCCGTGGACAGGGCGACACATTAACAATGTCATAAACAAAGACTAGGCGAAACCTTTGGGCCAACGCAATCATAAAATAGTCATTTAACAATTGATAAGCCATGCCATTCCACGTAGCTGTCACAGACAATAATAGCCTGCCAGATGACGAAGATTCAACAAGAATTCTCAGTACTGAGCTCCATTCTAGGGCCAAGGCGCCGTCGTAGCTGTCAAAATATGCCAAGGCATTATGAATTTGTGCGCAAGCAATAAGCAAATAACTTATATTTATGGAAATATTTTGGATGTGATAAAAACGCCACAAAGAACATAGAAAACTAAATTTGGAAAAATAACACGCCAAGCAGAAAAACTTTACAGACGACGCCAAAGGACAATTCTCGAAAGCATTATCTCTCAATTTTATATCACAATTCCAATATTTATATCCCATAGCTGGATGTAGATGTACTAGGCTCAGGAGTGGAGCTGGCCAAGTAGAAAGGTCACTGCGTCTAACCCTGAGCCATGCCGCCAGCAGCTGACAGTGATAAAGCACTTGGCAATGAAGCAACAAAGTGCACACAAGCGAAGCTGAGCGGAAACAACAATAATATGATCCCTTCAATAGAAAGCTTGACTCAGAGCCTTTCTCTTTAACATCACAAGCTGTGAGCAATGTGGTCCTTTGACTTAAATGAATTGAAATTGAATTTTCTTAATAACGACTTTGATTAAGCAATTTATTTTGCATATTTGACTGCCTCTTATTTGCTATTATAGCCATACACACCTTCTCTCCACGCCTTTAACGGGCCTATAGCACAACTTATGAAGTAGTTCATTTGTCAGTGATGCAGTGATTATCGATCTTAAATTCTCGAAAATCAAGTCAATAATTTAAACTATTGAAGTAATACAATTTGACTCAATGAGTTTTGTATTTGAATTGAGCTGATTGAAATATATTATGTTCATTCTGTATCAATTAAATACTCTTTAGTTATTTGTTTTATTTTTATCCAAAAGTGTGTGGTAACTGTTTATTTTTATTTAAAGCCACACAAATAATATAATATTATATATAATATATAGGGCAAACCCATTTCGCCCCCATTAACCCCAGGCTAGAAATGTGCTAGAGACTCAAGACAGCAAATCTTTATAGTGGATACATGTATCAAGAGCTCAGCTTAAAAGCTATACAAACTCCAAATTTAATGAACAAGTTACTCTTGACCTCCTCTATGAATTAACCAAAAATTTTCCATTTGAGAGCAACACGAAAAAACAGGCTTTGAACCTAGTTTTTCAAAATATTATTGTTAAGTAAATGCTTTTGGTTCTGGGAAGTTTCAGAGTAAATTTAATTTAGCCAACAAAATATAGCCAACATGCCAATATTAACACCTTTGACATTTAATGTGCTCAAATACTTATATTGTGGCTGCTTTCATTGTTACTTACTGTTTGCATAGATCCAAACAAATTAGACAAGCTAAAAGAGCTCAGCTAACGCTCCTCTAGTCAAGAATTCCTGCTTGTCTCAATCAAATTGTGTTTTAAAATTTATCTCGCCTCGAACAAGCTCTGGCAACGCAGTAACAAACTTAGTCGCAGTAACTACAGCATTTGAAAGTTTCTTCAGTGCATCTATGGAAACAACATAAACAAACACGTTATCCATCATTCCTGCCCTGCTTACTGTTAGACACTTTTCAGGGAGGTAACTTTCGTATTCATTGTATTGCGATTTGTTTTGCCAATGCAGCTTGACTCTTAGCCAAAGCCGCATTTGACTGTGGCATGTCTTGAAGCATCATCAGAATGCTGATATTCTACGGCTCGCGGTAATATGATGCAGGACAATAAGAAGAAATGGAGATAAAATAAAATAAATATTACATTTACTTGGCTGCGTGACAAACTGCAAGCAGCTGCGCAGAGCTGGCTTTCAGGATATATTGTAACTCTCGGCATCTGCATTTTGTCGTCAGTCAATTTTCGTGTTCACTTTTTAGACAAGGAGCCCCAGTTGACAACCCGCAGCCGGCCATGGGAGCAGCTGCAGCACTGACAGAGCTGAAACTTGGTGGCCACGTGTGCCCGAGGGACAGATATTTCATCGTATCAAACTGCGACCGGGACCCGTTCGTAAATCTAGCCGCCAGCCAAAGCCAACGCCACTGAATATGTATTAAGTTTAGGTCAGTGGTCAGCTTGCCAATAAATTCAATGCCCGTGGGTGGCAGCTGCGTGTCTCGGCATGCAGCATCTGTGCTGTGTAATTGCGTGAAATAACAGTTTCTATTGTAGGACTCCTTGCCCCATGCTAAATCAAGTGAAAAAGTCTAAATAATTCATTTTAAGTTTTCTCAAAGCACTGAAGTTTCAGTTTCAACTTGCCATACTTGGGAAACTTCCAACTGTTTGCCGTGCAAAATTAAAACTTTAATTAAATTAGTTACCAGCATTTGACAATGACTCGGCAACTGAATACACTATAAATGCAATACAAAGCTTGCACGTCACTCAACTGATTGCTATTCAGCTTTTTATAGCGCGCTCAAGCTCGACGAGCCTCAAAAATACAAGAAGCAAAACAAAACTGAGAAGAGAACAGC